GACTGTGCGCATGACATAAGCAGCCCAGATTAGATTTTTAAATGTGCGATGGTCGGACAGAGACGGAGTCAGGTCATGCGGATGATTCGCGAAGAGCTACTTGATTTTGAGAGGAGGGGGGAGTATGGCGAACTTGTGTTTAGCATCTGCGATTAGGTTGGAGAGTTCATGAAATTATATGATTTAAGTTTGCGTTGCTTTTGTGTTATAAACTGTTGAAGTTTGGCTATTTTCTATTGGTCACAAAATTAGTGTAATTATTTACCGTTAGTCAATCTGTAGAGATTTTTTATCGCTGTACATACTTTGATCAACTTGATGGGGAAGCAACTGAACACCAGTCTTTGAAATAAATGCTTCTACATTTTTGAAACATGGTTCATATGCGGCGGTTATTAGTGAACAAGAAACAGTTTCGAACCATCTCTTTAATGTTACTTTTAAGTGTTTCTTGAGTTTCTGAGAGCTCATTCCAGGCCCTTCATAGATTCTTCGAGAACCGCTCGCATACGCAGGAGCGCGAACTATTCGTTATAATCGTGGGAACAAAATCCTAAAAATGAGGAATATTAAAAAACCAAATTAGCTGGCTCATGTTTTTTTTATAAATCAATGTTAGTCTGTCATCATTCTGCGTGAGCAACCATCAACAGCACCTTTCTACAATAATGCCCCCTAAAATGCTTTGGAATTTTATTAGTCCATGTCTGAAGAATGTTTAGGAACTTTGGTGATATCACAATTTTCATTTCCATCATATCGAGGTTGAAAATGACATTCTTCACACTTTTTATATATTAAATCGATTATTTTGTTCAGGATGAATCAAAGTTTTTGAGCCAAAAAAAAAGTTAATATCGCACTGAGCACTTACAAAGTGATAATTCCGGGTCTGACCGTTCTCACACTCAGTGTAACTTTTTCATTGATACGTTGTGATAAAAAATGTAGCACATGTTTGCAAAATTACAATAGTTGTCGCACAAAGACATATAAATTATAACCATAATTACTTCAAACAAACATGGTATTACGTAATAACGATACCCGAAAAATAATAACAAAATAAAGCAGTGATTTTGATACGACATTGTTTACAACGACTTAATATTCCCGCCGCTTTTATTTAGATTATGCATGATGCAACGTGTCTGGTCAACCCTCCGCAGTTATTGAAAATACACGCACAGATGTTTGAATTACTTTGATTCGATCTATCCAAAATAGTTTTACAATCGATTCAAAAATTTTGGTTTCAGAACTGAGCTAAAAAACAAAATGAAATTTAACACCCTCTATCTTCAGCGGATAAGATGACAAGCGAACTAGGCTTGGTAAAAAGCCCCTTCCCTTCGGAGACACTTACCCTCGAACGTCAGAAGTTGATAAAATAGCCCACCCATAGGTAAAATTTGAAAAGAAAACGTAGCGTTTACTTCCCTGGGGTTGATAATTGCGGGTTTTAGGGGGCAGTGTGCTGTAATTGGTATCAGTAAAGATGTTTTGTTATTCAGAAATTTCTGATCTAGGTAGTGATACCCACCTGCTAGACAGAATAGATACAGTATTAGAAATCTTTCGCATAATATTTACCTCTGTGACTCCATCAACACCATCTACACGCGATATCCTTTACCTGCGGAGGGTCCGTGCCCTAGCCGCAGCGTTCTCGTTGACGACGCGCAACGATGTTGTGATACCAGTCTTATGAAAGTTGACATGGTGCATATTTGTCCATAATTTCATTCTTTTAAATCAACAATACTGTTTCGTACATTCGTTATATTGTATGGCCTTTTGTCAAGGTACAAGGATTTTCATAGCCCTCAAATAATTGGTATCTTCGAGAGTACGAAAAATTTGACTCAATATAAATATGCTGTAGGTATACATTTGTGCATAATTGTGTGGAAAGTACAGAGTCAATCTACTTGACGTCATTTTCACCACTTGATTTCGATAACTTCTTATACGTATGCCGTTAGGCTACTGTAGTTTTCATTGATTTAAGCTATGAAATAGGTATATCCGTGGCTCGGTTTCTTTGGAAAATCAAATGTTCGCCTCTTAAGCTTGTCAACTTTAGATCAACTAATCCTAAAATACTGTTCTGAGTCTTGTACAGTAAGGTGTTTGAACTATAATTTAGGTACTTGGCAACCTCAAACATCACGATTTTCAAAGATTTCCAAAAAATTATCATGGTTATTTGTAGTGATCGACGAGATATATGAATGCAAAATATTTTCTCAAAATTCACTATGCAGCCAGGTAGGTGATCTTATCGTGCCAAATGTTGTTTGGGCTTTCCGGATCATTCTGAAAAAAAAGTTCCTCAATAATAGTTTCCAAGTTATATGCGTTTCAATATCAGAAAGACCTTATAAGGACATGTTCAATGCTTAAAAACTCATTCAAAAATTATTATTTTTGAGGTTTCCAGTGTCTCAAGTAAAGCTTAAAGTTTCCTCTACAAAACTTCGAAAATCATCTTAGGCTTAACTTATTTCAAACCAATTTTTAACCTTGCTTGTTTTCCGACTTGTTTGATACCTATAGCATTCGGAATTAAAAAAAATATTCTCAACTTCCTGGTAGTTTTGAGGCGCAATTATAACAAAACTTTTTCAAGTATCATCTTAACAATCAGATAATAATTCTCGTAAATGCTTAATCAACCTTTTCTTGTTTTTTCCACTGCGGGAAGTATACCTTAATAATTTCAACGCTGGTATTGAATCTTACACCGGCTCTGTACGATGGCCAGCCTCACCGCACACTTTAAACAAATCCGCCTACATTTCTAATTCCTTTTGTACGCTTTTTCCGGCGAATTTCTGTATTTCCTCAAATCTCGCCTCGCCTATAGCGTCTATCAATGCCTCTCCACAGATATTTTCATCTAACCGCAGCCGTGTGAAATAGTATGTGCACAGGAAGGCTGGAATAACGGTGAATTTACGACGTCAACCGGCGATGTCCTGCTATCAAGGGGAAAAAGTCGAGAGCCGCGTTCATAGCCTGCTGAAAAACATTCAAACCATTCCTGCTTCGCGGTCCTTTGTCGACGAGCAACCCCGAACACCGCCGATTGCAGGACGGTCGACACTGTTGCCAGATTGTGTTCAGTATACGAAATTGTAGGTAACCCACGAGCGGGTCTATGAGTTTTTATTAAGAAGCGTATTTGAAATTCCTGCGAGAGCAGAACTCCTCTGTATTTCTCGCCAAATGAATTAGTCCACAATATTTCATCTGTATCTCGGAATCATGTGGAGTTGTCAACGTTAAAGAATAAATGTTATTACCTTCACATCTGATGAAAGCCTAACCCCAATGTCACGTTGTAAAGAGGGCATGGACAAGTTTTACCACTTTTCATTTCCAGAGGAATATGAATCCATAAAATTATTTTTGGGGTAAATATTGATATTACCTTAAAATAAATTCTTTTTAAAATCCCGAATTATTGAAGTGAATGAAAATTGAAGTTTGTTATGATCTCAAAACATTAATTATTGTTGAATACTATCTGCCTCAGAAATGTTTATATAAAGGACGCGTTGGATAATCTTTATGATTTTTCGACTAATTTTTTTTTGAACCTTACGATGTATGATACGTGAGTAAACTTTTTATTATTATTATATACTTGTAGAAATATAAGTCTTTCGGGGCCTGAAGTTTGAAGCCATTTTGTAGATTTACGCTGTTTTCATAAAAGTTGAAACCGGTTCGTCAGCTGAATATATTCTCCATAAAACTGATATAATGTAGTCGTCAACACGATTTAATTTTTGCTCTGGAAGATATACGATCTAGATTTAAGACACGAAACATACGAAAAAAAAGAAGAGGGATTCAATCATGTCACCATTAAAAAATTAAGAACGGATTATTGTTCTAGCGGAACTAAGTTGTGTATAATGTATTAACGAAATATATTTACGGAATTTTCCGTGTTAGTTTCCACATCCACAAAGAGTTGTTTCGCTTAATTTTGAACCTTTCCGGTTTCAGAAACAATGTTGGTGTGACGATCGTGGGGGTGGTAGTAATAATCGTAAGGGACATTCTGCACGAACCAATTGAGGTTTGCGGATATAACATATATCACAGATGTAACATGAGTTACCCACCAAGTTCGTGCGACTTGACTCCATTATACGTTTTCTTGTACGATTTAATAGAGTTGCATGTCCTTCGTAATAAGCTGCAGCCATGTCCCCAAGGTCGACATAATTCATGCTATCGCGGTGATCAACGTAATATTCTGGTCAAATTGCCACACAATATCCCTACCCGCAACTTGCTCCCATCCCAGTTCAACATTAACTCGACCTTATCGGAAAACTCCTGACAAATTATAATCGTTTTTAAAGTACTTATCCAATCATAAAATCGCTAGTAAAACGTATCCGTATCTTCCTTGATCTGCAAAATTACTTTATACGTTTCTCCAGCCTACCCCGTAATGATGTGTAAAGGTCAATAGAGTACTTATTTTTAAACCTTGGAAATGTCGATGTAATCTGGCAACAGCGCGCACAGATATTGCTGACATGGCGTCTTGAAGTGTTGTGGTGTTTTAGTTTTCCTGTTGAGGAATTTTACCCTTTTGTTTTATGGTGTCACTTTAAAAAGGTAAGCTATAGTTTAGTCCATAAACTACCGAAGCTTCTTAGCGTCTAGTTTCGTCTCCATCCAGGGTCTTCCAAGTTGAAAATCGTAGAAGTTTGCAGTATTTAGGGTCGACGACTTGATTTACCCTAGGTTTTTGGATCAATATATTTCTCGCAATCGGCATGGAAACCCTCATTTAACACCCACAGCACATCGTAAATTAGCCCACATCTTTTCGATTTCCTAATCGGCAGCAGGGTATTTGTCCTTTTGCTTTTGTATAATAATAGACAAGGGTGCGTAAAACTGGCTCTCGCATCGAAGTAGGCGGGGTGTTCGAGTCGACAAGTGAATTTTAAACATGGCGTTGCAGGGCTGTTCCATTCACTGCAGGAGGGGTGCACTCGTATGCACGTTTCTTTTCAAAAATTGAATTTTCAGCAAATTTGAGCTTGAAAAGTGCGATGGCAGTGTGTAATGTTTATGTTTTGCGTTATGTATCTGATCGTGGGTGGGGACTCGATCTCTGGGTTGTGATGTAATAGCAGCAATTCAAGAACGATTCCGTGATTCCGCATCGGGTTTTCAGCTGACCACCTGTGTGAATCACACTCGGAATGCAAATGTCAATCTGATCAGAATCCAACGCGCCCTATTTAAATGAGTCTTCTAACCACTTTTTTGTATTTTTATTCGTTTCCGGGTTTTGTAGTACTTGTTGATCTGGACAGAATTCGAGTGGTTGGCATCTGGTTTTTAGGGATCGGTGCTGATTTCATTGTGCCCGTGCCGTGTTAAGTTTTTGCGTGGGGTGTATAAATGGTATTGCCATCCTTGTTGCCTTGTAGGAAATATTTATCGGAAATAAAATCAATAGTTCAAGGATTTTTGTTTTTTGCCAGCTGCATTCACAATAGTTTTTGGTATGGACACTGAACGGAAAAGTCTAATTGGATTTATGGGATTCTTATTCCTATTGGATTCATATTGCATAATAAAAACAGACGGTTTTAGGTAAATGATACTAAACACTTCCTATTGCTGAGTCTGTTCTATTTTCACTCACTTTGCTTCATTTATTTTTAGGCAATGTAGTTAAATTTGTTCCTTTCAACAGAGTTTTCAAAAATCTTCAATGTCATTGTCCCATTCAGCTCAACAGGGACGTAGCGACCCTAACATATGCTATTTTTTCACAGATTGGTAACGAGCAAGTGTATTTTTGAATATCTAGTTGAAAAAGTAAAAGTAGTAGGCCAGTAGGGACGAGTCGGTTTTTATCGAATTTTTATCACTCTGAGAAAAATTAAAAAAGTTACTCAAACATAGTGGTGTATGAAAAAACGATTGAGGTACAGATGATAAGGAAATTTGTAAATTTCGATTTTTTAATAGTTTTGTTCATGTTTTTGATGAAGTCAGCGTTTTGAGTTATCTATACCCTATTTCAAGAGTATCCATCACGGTAGAACGACAGCTGATTATCTAGTAATATCTCAAAATTTCCCATATTCGCACATTACGCATAATCTGACGGATCCGTCAACGCCAGGTAGACAGAGCCGATTTTTTTTTTGTACGCTACAGATTCATTTTGTACTTGCTAACAGCTCTTTTATTCAGAAAAGTTCATTTGGATACAAAAACAAAATGCCACAAACAAGTTTTACTAGATTTATAGCCGATCCATTATTGCCAATGTTGCAGACTATCACAAAAATGTCACTAGCTGATCAGCTGTTCACCTTAGTAGACTCAAAGCGTGATGGATACTCGTGAAATAGGGTATAGTTGACATGTTAAATAATATAAAATGTAAAATAAACACACTAATGGCCTTATTATGTTGTAGGTAAATACAAATGTTTCCAATGAAATAAATTTATATAATTGATGTATATAATGGAAATCAGTTAAAACTTTGAACTCCACAGCCCAACATAACCTCAAATGCAATAGCGGCGCCTTACTCACGCGGCTCAGGGGAGGAAGTTCTAGAATAAAAACGCAGCTGCTACACGTGAGAAAGCTTACCCATAGTTAGTTTACATAGCATTTTCTTTCTGGACCTTTACCCTACAGCTAAACATTTAAACATACAACACTAATGCCAAAAAGGTGCATAGATGTCCGACTTCTATAGGTTTTGGTCAGACCTCTGTATACTTCTTACAGCAATTTCACAGAACAGCAAATATGGCCCTAAACTAGCATTTTAGATGTTATATGGTAGCATTTTATAGACAAAACAATATCATTTATCAAGTCAAGCAGATTAGAAAAACTTCAAATGTCAGGACCATCCCTACCTCAATTGTTTCATAAAGCCCCATAAAGTGTGTTTAAACATTTTTTTTAAATATTCCTTCTAGTAATAAAAATATATATTAATTTGAGTAGATATTTTAAATGCACACATAGGTATACAAATTTTGAACCTATTAAACATGTTTTTCGGCTGCATCAAAATAACTGGTCGTTTTGGAAACTGTACATATAAGTTTTAGAAATCGATGCTGTGTTGGCAAAATTATGAGTAAAAGTCGAAACATTTTTGAATATTTCCAAACTTGGCAAAACTATTATTTTGGAGTGATCAATACTATAAAAAATCCCAGGCCTCATTATCTGATGAATGTGAATGCTATCTTCCAATGCTTCAATTTTTTTGGCTTATAAGCATAAACTACTGATATAACAAATGCCCCCAACACCTTCATTGTGTTCCACTTGAAGATAGTTAACAATATACTGTATTCTGGCATCTAAAAAGGATCTGAAAGATACTAGCACCATCTATGAGACAGTAACAGACACAAAAATGAAAGTATCAGTTCACTTTTAAAAGGGAGTGTTTGGTTCTGCTGCTGTCTCATAGATGACGCTAGGATGTTTCCTTTTTGGCGCCTAATTAATATAGTCATTAGAGAGTCCAAAAAAGGAGTGAAGATCCTAGCTCCATCTATGAAACAGTAGCCAATCAAAAAGTTAGAGTAGAAACAAAAATGATAACACACCTTAGAGGAATTATTTCTAAATTATATAAAATATTGGGATACAGTTTTAGATCTTCTAAACATTTCTCTCTCTCTGTAGAAGTTTTTTTGAATTTCATACTGCTCTTTGGTGTGTAGTATTTTGTAGTACAACTCAGTGATATGGTTTACAAATTTAATTGGTGACATTAACTCCATTAAAATGGGTAGGAGTTAGAATGCTTCAGAACTAATGAATACATTGAACTCTTTGAAACACCCAGGGAAATGATTGATTTATGTTTTCTGTTTAAAATCGTTAATGGTGTCGAAGATTGCCCAGAGGTGCTTGCAAAAATAAATATTGATGTTAATGAAAGAGGATCGCAGTATAGAACTGTTCGTGAATTCCATATCATTCTACCAATTATGGTATGAATGAAACAGTTCTAGAATGCTTAGATCTGGCAATGCCCCTATAAGCTACAATATAGATATTTTTAGTAGCAATATTAAGCACATTAAAAAGCACATGAAACATGTTTCCATTTAAGTTTGTTTGGTTTTAAATATAAGTAGGTTGTGTATCACACAAATCTTCAATACTTTCACGTTTAATAACTTATATAATAATAAAAAATAATCTGTCACATAAATTTTTTTTTGTATGTAATGGTAAACCATAAATATATAAATAAATAACATAAAAATAAATTGTAGCTGCGCAGTCGTCTAGCAACAAATAAATAAGGGTATTTCCCTTGGCGATTTGGTATTAGGTATAGGTAAATTTATGCAGGCTCTAATGTTACCTTATAATCCTGTGTGCTAAAAAATGGCATCTAACAAGACAAGAAAACCTATTCGCAAATCACTCTTTTCCGCTTGGCTTTGAATAAAAAATTTTATATTGTTTCTTTTAATTTCAGTGCTTCCCTTCACATCTTTAATCCAGGCCAATGACCTCTCTACCATATCGCTATCCCCAGCAACCATTTCATCAGCAACCGACACAACCACAGCAGCCTGGAGTTGCTGCACAGGCACCAGTCATGGCAACACAAAGGTTCTGTCTAAGATGGAACAACCATCAGTCAAATCTGCTGTCTGTCTTTGATCAGCTGTTGCATGATGAGAGTTTTGTGGATGTTACTTTGGCTGTCGAGGGTCAGTTGCTCAGGTTAGGAATAGATTTTTAACGTTTTCAAGTCTATTTATTTTTTAATCATGAACGCTGAATTCTAACATACTCTATATAGTCAAAAAAGCAGCCATAAAATTGTAATTAGGACCAAGTGTACTATATTTTAGACTGGTTCTGGATACCTCTTTGTATAAGGTTACACATTTGTGGCAGAAAAAGTAAAATCGAGTGAAGTATCAAGTATTTTTTGATGCATACCGAACTAACACGTCTCGAAGAAGAAAACAGCATTTGGATTTATAGTACATATTTGAAAATACTTTTGTATGCCTGATGTTGAATTTTATTTACAGGGCACACAAAATGGTTTTATCAGCGTGCAGTCCGTATTTCCAGTCACTTTTTGTAAACCATCCAGACAAACATCCAATTGTGATCTTAAAAGATGTCCCATATACAGACATGAAGAGTCTGCTGGATTTTATGTACAGAGGTAAAGTTTTAGTTAAGCTTATATTGGATGAATGTTTGTGTACGGCGCTGGCGTTGACTTCTTGTAAAAATATTCGGATTTTCCTCACTAAAATCTTAAGATAACCGACATTCCTACCACGTACGTTCGTTTCCAAAATCAGACACCGCAACCTGTGGGGTAAACCGAGTTCATGAATCAGATTAAATAAACCGAAAAGTGTTGAACTTGTTGATTTTGTTAGTTTAGTCATCAAGATACTGCTGATGCTTAGCGAATGTAACATAATTCGGATTGTTTTCCTGGACGTTTGCATCCCGCGCGGCCTAGGTTTGTTTATATTCTACAAAGGCCATTAGCAGGATCATCAGTGGGAATAGTGGAAGGCCGAGTGTGTTCCAGATGTTCCAGATTGAGGCAAAAGTTAACAAAAACGTGTTTTTGAATCGAACGGCAACAACTCTTAAAGCACTTTTTGTATGACCTTTTAGAAAAAAAAGTGTAATTTACATTCAAAAGCTGTAGTGTCTGATATAAACAATATACAGGATTTTTCGTGATTCTAAATATACTCACTGCAATCTATTGAGGCACGTTGGCAAAACGGGAATGTTCATCGTCGATCTGACGGGTTTTACACTTTTGCTGCATTAGGAGCGGTAATGCTGTCCTTTGCAATCGGTCCATGGAAAACTACGAGTAGAAAAACATGTTTTGTTAAATCGCGGTTTTCTTCATAGGCGAAGTAAGCGTTGACCAAGATCGACTGACAGCCTTTCTCCGAGTAGCCGAAAGTCTGAGGATAAAAGGCCTGACGGAAGTGAACGAGGAGAAATGTGACACCATAGCGAATTCCCTGACACAGCAGAACATGCAGAACAACATGCCACACCTGCAACGTCTTCAGCAAAATCAAAAACGGTTCACTGGGCATCTGAACATGTTGAGCAATGCGTTGATGCAACCGAAGAGGAAGAGAGGTCGGCCGAGGAAGTTATCGGGATGTTCGAATGGAGATGATTATGATAAGGATATTGTGCAGGTAAGTCAATCTAAGGTATTTTTCTACGCGGTTGAAAACTTGACTTTTAGGTGGTCTCAGGCGATCCATTTTCTACCTCAAATTCAGTGCTACGACATTTTGACGATATATTCATATTCAGTGCCCCAAATTACACAGGTCAACAAAAGTCTTACCCAGAAACTTTTATGGAAGAATGAAGCGAAAATTTACTTTTGTTCTTATCACTTTTCCTTTTCGAAAAATCTTTGCTTTTCTTGAAAACTCAACTTGCTGCGAGACGAGGATTTTCATTCTTCCATAAAAGAGGAATATTCGCACACAATTTCAGAGCTGCACTTATATTTGTAAACAAGTTCCGATCGAAGAAATAATGCACAATAAAATGCACAAAAAATGCATTTTTTGAAAAAAAATTGAAATATGTTTTTTTAGTTATCTCTATACACACCAGGAAATTATCAGGTTTGGAATACTGCTGCAATCAGGAAAAGATAAATTTTACCGGGTTTTCAGTTTCAGCATATTTGGGTAACTAAGAAAATGACACTCGGAAAGTGTCTGAAGTTTACATAGATGAATAGAAAAAAGACTGACATTTTTATAGTTTTATACATGAAATATTTGTCGGTGTTACAGGGAAGCCCAGAAATGTTAGAGGTCAAAATGGGCATGGACAACTTCACAGGGAACAACTCCGACACAAGCACGGGCAAAATGGAGATAGATGAGGACAGGATGAAAGAGGAACCAGGACCAGTCGCAGGAACGTCAAAGGAACAGATGTACGCCAATTCGAAATCGTTAGAAGACCTTCAAGCTGGTGAGTTTCCAAGGAATGAAATCAGTCAATCATATTTATAAAAATGTACAAAAACTACTAGTTTTTCTTGTTTCATCAGTTCTCCGGTTGTTACCCAGCCCATTATTTGTTTCATTATCCCTTTAGGTCGAAGTATCCTTACAATGATAGAGGATTAAAGAAATTTTCTAATAATTTTGCCATTACGAGGGTCGTCTGATTAATAATTATTCTATTTAATTGGCACCCAGTGGTCTATTTATTCGAAAACCTGGCTAAAATTGCAAAAAGAATGTATCGGTAGTGAAAATTATTTCCTATTTCAAAGGTAATACTTTGAACAAGTTGGACATGGAATCAGAACTTTGCTACTTTTATCGCGGCAGGCTACTAAACTTGAAGTTTTTGGTGTATCATTCGACACTATTTTTTAACGACAAAATTGGAGAGTCTGTATTATGCATTGTATGTTGAAAATATTTGAACATCTAGATATGGATCAGATAAAGAGATTACAAACTTTCATTCAGTGTAATAGAAACATGTCATTGTTGTTCTCTTGTACACCGCGAGTTGACCTAAATACTATTTTTAGCCTCACTTTATATTAGTATTATTCGAAGAACTTTTTCATAAGGTTCCATCTATTCCTCCAATTGGATTATATTATGTTTGTGAACTTTGAAGTACTGCCAGATAAAAACTATTGTCAGTTTTTGCTAAATTTTGCAAACTATTGAGAAACGTAGCCTCATGTACTGTCAGATTATATACATATAAAAGATGGTCGGATACGACGACAACTTTCTAGAATTTTTCCTTAGAGTGGCTTTAAAATATCCTGCTTCAAATCTATTCCTAGAGATGAATTCATCTCTTATTTTGACTTTACGACCGCAAAAACTTGTACTTGAAATGACCCTCAGATACCCTCATAGCGAGTAATCGATGATCATTTTTATCAAGGCTATTTATAAGAATAGATGAAACAGGAAAAAATTATAGAATTGTATTGAATTTGATTGTTACTTATTGAAGATTGTAAATGAGTTATTTGCGCATTTTTTACTTGGAACTATATAAAAGCTACAACGAATAAATATTATATCACTTGCGTATCTTATTTTGCTTAAATGACTTTTGAAAATATGGTGAATCGACGTCTCTGTAACAGCTCTTTATTTCGACATAACGGGTACGATTTAAAAAAACATTAAACATATCTTACAAAAAAGTTACAAATTTTTACCAATACTGTTTTTTGCTGGTTCATATTCACAACTAAATCAGGCTGTTTTTATCAGACCAGAGGGTTAGAATTTGTCTGAGGAATGAAGGTATTTGTGTTGCACTTCAACCTTTATTACTTTGGTAACCATGAAAGAAAACACCCAAATAATGGGTACTACATTTTCGAAAAAATATAGCTTCCCGTTTCGTTTCAGTAACTAAAAAATCCTTATTATTTTTACAATTTTGAGTTTTTAAAATATTTTTTTTTGAACCCGATTGTTTTGTGTGGCTAGAAGTCGTAAAGTTTGCGTTTTACTACAAATCCTGGCATCGTCCTGTTTCATTTGCACATATGTCCATAAACCTGTTACAATATCATATTGCTAGACATCCTGATGTGAATTGGCAACTATTTTATTGCTCAATATTTTATCAGGAACTTCCCACCATTTTTCACTTATAAATGGTGAATATATGTTGTTGAAGGATTTTTGGTTCTTTGTGTGAGTGGGAAGGGAAAAGCTATAGTGCATTACACGTCGATTGAGGTGAGTCTTTATTATATTTTACAAATAAGGGAAGAGTCTATAGGAATGAGCCAACACAAAATCTGAACGCAGTATGAAAAGTTGCACTATTTTTTTTTGTGGGTTATTCCATTAAAGAACAACACCTTAACAGCCATTACCGTGTCTTCGAGAATGAGATGAAGATTTTAGAATGAGTGATTTACTGCATTCACTTGCCATTTTATCATTTATTTTGAAGACGCCATGTTTTTCTCGAAGATACATCTTCAAATATGTGCTGCCTAGTGTTTTTAATGAAGTAATCCATAATTTTAGTTTGCGTTACAAAAAAATAGTGAATTTAACTTTTGAGATTGCCCACGTGTATTTCATGAATCTTTATATTTTTGCTATTCTTTCAGAATATTTCACATCTGCGAGCGGCTTATTCTCTATAGCTTTTCCCTTTTTAGCTCTTGTTTTCTTGTTTGCTTCTTTGGTGGTGGATTTTTCATTTTAGATTTATATTAACGAGCATGCTTTATTATATGTGGATTAAACTTTTCATATTTTCTTTACATTTTAAATTGTCTTACTTTCAACGCCTACTGGGGTAGGGAGAGGGGTATTGTTTTCGCTAAAATTTTCACAAATAAGATATTATATGACATGTACTCGTACATCACGAAAAATCATGTCACTCATTTCCGTCGATCTGTCTGTCTGTCAATCGGTCTATTGGTCTGTCAGCTAATCTTATAATCGGCTATAACTTCAGAAGTATCGCTCGGACTTCGATTAAATATTTACACAATGTTACTACTATTCCAAGGACCCAAATAATTTATAATTTTTCATAGTCGGTCCAGTGACGGCATAGAAAAAGGCCAAAAAGGATAAAGAATAAATGTCGCTCCTACTTCGTTTTTTACGTTTCAGAGTATGTTTGAAAAAAAATTAGACGTAAAAAACTTGGGGTGGGGGTTATGGGCGTGAGGGGGGTTTATCTCCATTTTTTTATTTAGCCCATTTATTCGCTTCTAACCTTGGTAATTCGTAGTTATTAGACATATTTCACACATCATACACTTCTCCGTACATTAGTCCTTAAAACTATAAAAATATTCTCAGCAGACGCATTGCGTACCTACCGGCCGCGAGTGCTGCGTGCCTTCGGCCTTGGTTGTTCTGGTATGGTATTACACGTATTTCTCCAGCGCTACAGCATAGTGTTTCCGATGCTCTGACCGCGCTGTCACGTCTGACCGGGAAGATGCGACGTTTCCACATGCACTACCGGTAGGGCAGGGAAAGAATGTCTAGAGATCAATTATATGGACCTGTTTGACTGATTTTTTCTCAGAGGGTCTAGTTTGTGTTGAACATAATCCTTTATGAACTGATAACGGCGTTGCGTGGGAAGTGCAGAGTTAACGTTATTTTTTATGTGTTTATTGTAATACGTAAAATGCAATTTTGAAATTTGTAGTAACTAATGCAAGAAAAAAATATCGTGCCATTTGGAGCAAAATCGTAAATGGTTACTGAGAATGGCGTGAATCAGGATGTTACCCCAAAATTTTAATATTTGAAAAGTATAAAGAACAAACAATTTTGTTGTTGGCTCTTTTCATTTTTCTGCTGATTTCTGCCCGGTAATTAGAACTTTGAATTAATCAAGCGACTTTTTGAGATTCTGTTAGCAGTGCTGACGTTTCAAAATGGCTTCAGAATATATCTTTTGGAAATGGATAATTTTATCTCGAGTTGCTCTTGAATAGAAGGTCCTGATCGTTCTACAAGGATGAGGTGTGGTCATTTGGCATTTGCCTTCCGATTTTGTAAATTCGTGATTGTGGGATTCACCGTCAAGTTTCATATCATAACTATGTTATTTGCAAGGACATTGCTTCGGTAAAATCTGAACTTGTAACCCTTTTTTTTCTTGAGGATCGCACCTGTTTATGGAGCAGTTACATTTTTTAAAAATTGAATTTATTCCTTTCCTGTTTTTCTCGTCGATTTTCTTTTTTATTTTCCATGACCACCACCAATTTGTCTGTAGGAGTTCCACTCTTATATTTTAATGGAATTGCATTTTCGCTGAAGTATCTTCATGTATCAATATTTTCGTTTAGTTCCTCAGTCATTTGTGGGCATTTATTTCTCTATGGATATGCTATTCATAAATTTACCTCAGCATTGGGATGCTGATGTTTCTGTTTTTTTTAATTTGTTTTCTATTCAATTTTATTGGTAGGTCATTCATAGAGTCATACTTGAAGGTTTTAAATTGCCACCTTCAAAGTTCACTGTCAATGTCTTATTGAGTTCTAGGGTTTTTTGCGTATCTTCATCAATAGAAGCATTTCGGAAACAACCTATTTCATCTGCACAAAATTAACTTAGTGCAGGAAGTATCTTTGTATCTGATAGGAAAAATATTCGGATTCAGTTTTTCACTTTCGTATTTAAAAAAGACCTGCAAGTTGCCAGATCCGAAATTGCGCCATAGTTTCTTTAAACAATTTATTAAAAAACTCCACATTTTTTTTCGCTCCGGACAAAGATTTTTTAGAGCTCTTGATTAAAACAAATTTTGACGCAGTTTTGGTCTTGACAACATGCAGATTCGTTAAAAGTTCCCCTATTTGAATAAGACTATACATTAAATTAAATTAGAATATTTTTACGATCTAGAGATGACCGATACTTTTGAATATGTATGATATCTGATATAGTTACTTTTTGATATAAGTGACTTGGAACCGTGATGTGATCACATCTTCCCAGCAACGATGAGATTATGGGTATACTGATATTCTGAGCAAAATACCGCGATGAAATCGCGTGAAACCAACTTTCAACGCCTATAAGGCACGCTATCGCTTACAGGCCTTAATTTTTCGCGATTACAATTCTTCCTCTCTCTGTGGCGTAGGAAGTTAAAGTGATGAAAATCTATGTTTAATAAGAAAAGAAAGTACATATAATAAAATTAATAACTCCGAAACCACAAAAAAATCGGAATCATAGTTAATGTTTGTAGAATTCCTTATTTCTCACCACATACAATAAACGTTGATAAGATTTTTACCTGAAAGAGATATTGCCAACGCGCTTTAGTATTTTTTGGCTACATTTAAAAATCCACTACGAATGTATTGTTATCTATTTTTTATCTATACTATTTCTTTCAGGTGTGAATCCATCGATTACCGTAACACACAAGACCAGTTCAAACTGCATTGACCTTGAAAAGTCTATTAAAGAAGAATG